AGTTGTAAAAGCAGGAGATCCCCAGGCCCCACCTGGAGGCTGGCAACCCTACTGCTTTGGAAGGAGGACTCTGTTGGTTTATGCCCTGTCGAGGTCCCTCCACTCCACTACCTCCATCCTCCCCAGGCTCCATCCCCAAATCTCCAGGGATTTCCCAACTCTGAGTTGGCAGTTCTAGGATGGACTCGACAGACGAAAGCCTTCTCGTAACCGTGGGGAAGGCCGCGGCCTCTGTATTTCAGCCTGTCATGCAGCAGTTAAAGAGCCCCGTTCATAGAACCCCCGTGCACACATGCTTGCGATGTTTTAGCAAACAGCTGCAATGTTTAAATATTATTTATGCTGCTGGTTTTAATTGATTTCATTAATTAATCAAAGTCACCTTGAGTCTCTCACTGGACAGGCGAGATTTAAATATTCAACTCTATCCCTATCTCCCCCCCTTCTCCAAGCCTTTACTCTCACTTCCTACAGCAACTCATGTGAGAAGAAGCAGTATGACACATCAAAAAGGGGAACGAGAGGTGAGATTCAGGCCAGTGAAACAGTTGGAGAAGAGATGGAAATGCCCCTCTACCCTTAACAGGAAGAAACTGTGTGGCATGAGTGATGCTGCTAATCAAATACAGCCTGACAGAGGACAAAGTTGGAGCCCAGTGGCACCTTTAAGACCAACTAAGCTTAATTCTGGGGACAAGCTTTTCTGTGCATGCTCTCGCACCCAGAATTAAACTTTGTTGGTCTTAAAGGTGCCACTGGACTCAGAGGTTGTGCTATTGCTTCAGACCAGCACGGCCGCCCACCTGAATCTAGCCTGACAGAGAATACGGACTGAAAGTAGAAGTCACGCGTGTGGGATTCCTCTTCTTCCCCAAACAAACACTTCCATTGTGATGCAACCCTCCCAAAATGCTTGTTCATTTCCCTCTTAACCCAACCTTCTCCCTGAGCATACAGATACCCAGGGCTCTCAGATTTTATGCCAGTGAAGCTGGCTTCCAGTTTCCTTTTTGCTTTCTCCCCATCTAGACCTACGTTTGCCACTGCCAACAGGCCTGTAGAAGAATGGCCTCTGTCCCTTGAATAGAGGATTCATCTGTGTGAAAGCAGGGGACTGAAGCTTTCCACAGGATAAAAGTAAATAACATTCCATCAAGCCCATAATCAGGGGACAGGGCATTTTCCCTCTCCAGGCAATGAGCAACCTTTACAAGTCATGCATATACCTTGATTGCTTTTAAAAAAGGTAAAGGTTCCCTTGCTCGAAAGCCAGTCGAATCCGACTCTAGGGTTGCGGTGCTCATCTCTGTTTCAAAGCCGAAGAGCCAGCGCTGTCCGAAGACGTTTCCGTGGTCATGTGGCCGGCATGACTAAACACCAAGGCTCACGGAATGCTGTTCCCTTCCCACCGAAGTGGTCCCTATTTATCTACATGCAATGTCTTGCTTTCGAACTGCTAGGTTGGCAGGAGCTGGAACTAGAGATGGGAGCTCATTTCATCATGCGGCAACTCGGGTCTCGAACTGCTGAACTACTGACCTTCCAGAGCCTGCAGTTCAGCGTCCTAACCACTTGAGCCACCGCAGCTCCTTTTACTCTATGGTAAAACCAGAGTTCCTGGTGAACATGCCATCACTTGAGTGCTTTCCCCAGAAGTCATGCCGCACACAATGTCAGTGATTGTTTTTTTCTCCTGGCACCCAAAGGAGTGGCAACGAGAAGAGCAGGTGACCGGCAGGAGATCCCTCACCACTGCAGGAGATCTGGCAGCCCTGGGGGAAAGTCTTAGCGCATCACCCAGACATGATATCACACCTTCCCCAAACTCCACTCTCCCCAGACACTACCCCTCAAATCTCCTGGCATTCTCCTATACAGTGCTGGGAACCCTAACACCTACATATATACAATGGTGATGGACCTATGTGTTTGAGATCCAGAAGAACAAGTTAAAATTCCTACTGGCATGCCACACACACACAGGCACACACTAACCCTGGATTCTTCTATGTTTGGGGAATTACCTGGCTTCAGGGCCCTCCCCAAACTGCAGAACCTCATATCCAAATTGCACACTGGAGTTGGAAGAGAACACGGCTACAGGAGAGGTGTCGATATTGTACCCCAGTGCTGGGGAATGACCTGCCAAAACAAAAGAAGCAATGTTTAACCAACATATGCTAGGATTAGCTTTCATGTCTCTCTCCTGCCTCAGACGATCAGCTTGGCCTGCTTTCTATTGCCTTGAACAGGAGTTTGATCCACAGATGTTAGAAAGGGAATCTTCCCATGATATGGAGATCAGAATAATTTGTTACTATTAATTCCAGATCAAGCAGTTTGTGAAAGGCACAGGGCCTGGTTTGTGAGTCATTTGGGAACCCTAAACCATGGTTACAAGTTACCAAGGGGCGTCACCAAGGGGAGCTCACATGCAAAAGAGGAAGAGCATACAACCTTTGCAGCCCATTTCAAGTTCTATAACCGTATGACTGCCCGGGAGTATTATGTCCAGGGCTATTTTTGGACAGGAACGCACAGGAACGGAGTTCCTGCTGGCTCCCGAGTTGGTCACGCCCAACAGGAACTCATTAGCATAATAGGCCACACCCAAAAGCAGAAACTCATTAGGATTGGCTACATTAGGGGGTGTGTAGCCTAAGATGCAATGGGTTCCTGCTACAAAAAAGGCCCTGGGTTTTGACAACAAACAAGGTAAATAGAATAAGAAGTAAAAGGTGGGTGTGGCTGGATGACCACACTTCTGGTAAGGTGGGGGTGTGGCCTAATATGCTAATGAGCTGCCATCTCATGCAGATGAGTTTCTGCTGTTGGGTGTTTCCTATTATGCTAATGAGTTCCTGCTGGGCTTTTTCTACCAAAAAAGCCCTGATTATGTCTACCTACCAGTTGTGCATTTAGATACTGGTATCCTGCTTTCCTCCCCAGTGGGGACTCAAGGCAGCTCACTGCATTGCTCTCCTCTCCTCCGTTTTAATTTCACAACAAGGAGCCTGAAAGATAGGGATGGGCTGAAAGAGTGGGACTGGCTCAAGGCCACCCACCAGTGAGCTTCCATTACAAGCTGGGAATCTGAACCCGGGTCTCCCGGATCCTAGTCTGATGCTTTAACCACTGTACCGCGCTGCCTCTGTGTTTTAGAACAAAATGAAGAATGTCTTTTAGAGCATCCCTTCCCCATGTTCATGTACTCTGTTCCCCTGCTCTGCAGCCATTTGAGACAGCTAACAAATTCACGAAGGGCCATACCGATATCAGCAACAAAAATGGTTGGAAAGCAAATGAGGGTGGATGTCTAATAGGAGAGTTCTCTTCCTCGGATGCTGTTTTAGGTAATAGAAACCAGCAAATGGCACTAAATGCGTACGGTTGACATGGGAAATCTAAAGCCTTCCCAATAGAGGATGGTGCGGAATTGTTTTCTGTTGCTCCAGAAGGTCGGACCAAAACCAGTGGGTTGAAATTAAATCCACAGAACCTTCTGACAGTCAGAGCAGTTCCTCGGGGGAATGGGCTTCCTCGGGAGGTGGTGGGCTCTCCTTCCTGACATAAATGAGACCTTGTTGGGCCGGGCCAGGTGCGTCATAAAATGTAATGCCAGGTAGCGGCGATATAAACTTCATAAAGGACACAAACGCAAAGGGTTTTGTTTTTTTAACTTAAAAACATGCTTAAAACATTAGCACTCTTGCAATATTTTGTTTACTTAACAGTCTCTGATCACTGACACCTCTTGCTCTGAATTATTACATCAAAATGCCTGTGCTGTTGCAATCTTGAGTCTGCTGTTCAGGTGTCTGTAAGCTGCGAACCTACAATGATGAAGAAGAAGCAGAAGATGGCCGGTTCCACTGCGGGCCTGATAGAAGCCCTCCAGGGGGCCTGATCCGCCCCCCGGGCTGTATGTTTGACACCCCTGCCATAGAGTCTAACTTCCAACGTGCCCATTTTCTCCATGGGAACTGATCTCTGTTGCCTGGACATCCATTATAATAGCAGGAGTTTGCCAGCCACTACCTGGAGGTTCTGCGAGGACCGATATGCTGCACTGAAGCGCTTGATAGCCGGGAGGCTAGTGGTTGAAAGAGATTTAGCTTTTAGCTTTTTTATACTGCCTTCGCCAGGCCGCACCTGGAGTAATGTGTGCAGTTCTGGAGGCCTCAGTTCAAAAAGGATGTGGACAAAATCGAGAGGGTGCGGAAGAGAGCGACGAGGATGATCGGGGGTCTGGAGACTGAGCCCTACGAGGAAAGGCTGAGGGCCTTGGGAATGCTTACTTTGGAGAAGAGGAGATTGAGGGGCAACATGATTGTGCTCTTTAAATATTTGAAAGGCTGTCATTGGGAGGAGGGCAAGGAGCTGTTCCAGTTGGCAGGAGGGGATAGGACCCAAAGCAACGGGTTTAAGTCACATGCAGAAAGGTATCAGCTGGATATTAGGAAACACTTTTTCACGGTCAGAGTGGTTCAGAGGTGGACTCAGCTGCCTAGGGAGGTGGTGAGCTCCCTTTCACTGGCAGCTTTCAAGAAGAGGCTGCATGAATATTTGTCAGAGATGATTTGTGAATTTCCTGCATTGCGCAGGGGGTTGGGCTGGGTGTTGGGGTAGGTCCCTTCCAACTCTATTATTCTATGATTCTGAATGAAGCAGAAGATTTTTTTTAAAATGCAGCTGGCCTGATGAATTAAAAAACTCAGCTAGCAACATGGGTGAAGGAATGGTACCGACCAAGGACAAAACAGTGGCAGAGCCTAAGAAAAGCTGGTGACTAGCCGTGTGATCCTAAGAATACTTTCCTGGGAGTAAGCCCCTTTGAATAGACCTGAATACGATCCTGAGGAGACCTTCTTAGAGTTGCTCTCTGAAACGGACTTACACCTTCTCATGGAGAAAATCAAGAACCAACAAGACCATTACCCTTTGTAAACATGAAGCACAGACTGGGTTCATCCAGCAGGTAACAGGACGAGGTCCACACGCAACACTTAAAGAAGCTCTGCGAATCCTGCAGATGCTACAATCGCACTGGGTTTTACTTGGCAGCAGATAGGTATGTCCAGGGGTCGTTTCGTAGAAAAAGAGCTAGGGGAACTCATTAGCATAACTCATTAGCATATACCACATCCCCTGACATCACCGGAAGTGTGTCATAAGGCCACACACCCCGCCCCCAACGGGCACAGCCACCGCTGCCGGCCTTGCAGCTCCACTGCCAAGCCCCATGAGGGGTCCGGCGGTGGACCTGCAAGGCCGGCGGGAGTGCAAGGAAGCCCCGCAAAGGCCCTCCCTGGCCCCAGGCAGGCAGGGGTGGGGAGAGGCAGGGAGGAAGCAACTTACCCTTCCTCTTCTCCTGCCTCCTCCTGGCTGAATGAGGGCCGGAAGCTGGGCGGCCGGAAGCAGGGGGCGGGGCTTCGTCATGTGCCCCGCCCCCCGTACCTCACCCGGGGGAACTGCGATCCCCCGCGATCCCCCCCGAAATGACCTCTGGGTATGTCTCAAAAGTCTGAAGAACAGCTCAAGCTCAAAGGTGGAGGGCACTGAGCAACGGGGCAACAGAAGCGTTTTACATTTTAGGGGGTTCCCCACAGACAGTGAAAGGGCTTTGACCTTAGACATTTCCCCGCATGATGGCTAAGCATGCCTGTGAATCAGGAGGAGGGGGCTGTCCCAGCATTGGGGAGAGCACATTCCATTGCTGAAGCAAAAAAATCTCACCCACAAGATTTGCTTGCCGGCTTCATGCATCATCAGATGAAAGAAAGGACCACTCACCAAAGTTAGAAACAAAGCTCTCATATAGGGACTTGTTCAAAAACACCAAGCTTAACTTTCTTTTTTTCTTTTTTTTTTGGAACCGTTAAGATAGACAGCAAACAGAAATGGTTACTGAAGGTCTTGGAAAGCCTGGGGTTAAAGATGAACACACAAACACAGCTCCAGGTTGGGGAACTCCTGGAGGTCTGGAGGTGGAGCCTGGGGGAGACAGGGACCTCAGTGGGGTGCAAGGCCACAGAGTCCACCCTCCAAAGCATCCATTTTCTCCAAGGGGACTGATCTCTGTAGTCTGGAGATGATCTGTAATTCTGGGGGATGCCCAGGAGAAGGCTGGTACCACAGAATTTTCAGGGCGATTCCTAGAGCGTTGCCCGGCAACGTGCCCAGCAGGATTACATCACTTCCGGGTGATGTCATCACGCCGGGTTCTCTAAAAGGTTCGCCACCACTGTCCTAAACTGATGGGTTACTGAAACAGAAGCAATAGGTAGCAATAGATTATTAAGACTGTAAGCTGCATCGGGCAGGTTCCCTAGAGAAGTGGCATAAACATTTTCTAAACAAATAAATAGTAACTGAGCTTCTGACTGTGGTTTGAGAAAGATACGAGTGCACAAAATGTGGCAAGAGGCATAAATCATAGTGATTCTGAAACCTACAGGCAGGGCTGGCTCACTCACTAGGCGAACTAGGCGATCGCCTAGAGCGGGCCGGCCCTTAGGGGCACCAAACTGCACCCGGCCCCGTACTCTAGGAGTTTCTTGATTATTTGTGTTTTTCATTCTTCCTAAAATGCATTTATTTTTGAAAATTGGTGGGCGCACGGGGAAGGGGGCGCCAGAAGGGATCCCCACCTAGGGTGCAAAATAAGCTGGGGCCGGCCCTGCCTGCAGGCACTCCACAAAATGCTTAGGTTACCATGCTGTTTCCCTTTCAAACAAGAACAGTACAAATATTCTCTTCCTTATTGACTAGTAGCAGATTTCTAAAATAAATATATTAGTTTGGATTAATTTTGTTTCATACCCTTAAGGCAAACCTACAAGGTCTAATCTACACATATAGTAGAGTTTGGAGGAGGAAGAACTGACAGCACTCCTTTAGACTGCTGGTGGAAGGACTGGATTCTGAAATATTACCCTATATTAAACAATTTCTAGAAAAATCCCACATCAGAAAAATAGGTGAGGCTAGAATCTTACACCTGGTAAACTGTGGGGGTTATTTGCAGACATTTTTTTTAATGTAGGAAAGTGATCAGAAATAGTGTTCCCCACCTAAAGTTTGATATCTGGGGAGTCCACTTCATACATCAGGATTAGGCAGGCCCGTAGCCAGGATTCTGT